ATTGCCAAAGGACCAACACATAGTTGAAATCAAGCTTCTGCCATTGAGATTTCCTTCTTCAGAACGAGGAAACATCTTGTTTCAAGATGAATGATATCCTTGACCAAGAACCCTCACCCCGGAAGAAGACCAAGATAGATAGTTTTTTCCAATTGAGTTTTGGCAGAAGTAATGGTTGGAGTAGCAGAGAAGAGACGGTGTTCCAAGACCAGCCTTATAAAGCCAACAGAACAAGGGGAAAAAAGATTGTGGGAAGAAACCCTAACGGAGCAACCCCAACGGAACACAAATCAGAGACCCAATACACTCCGGAGACGGAGGCGAAACGACCAGCAGTGGCACAATGACGACGACATGGAGAGGCGGCGCGTGAAGCCCACGCGCCCAGAGAGTCGAAGAAACACGTGTGACGACGCGTCGAGAGAAGGATGAGGCGGCGACCCCCAGGATGGGTCCGCCTCGTTCGAGGCGCACCGAACCCTTAACTTCGCCGGAGAAAAGGCTGCGACAGCGGACGACGGCGGCAGACGGCGACGACGGCGGCGAACAGCGACGACGACGGCGGCGGACGGCGGAAGCGACGGTGCTAACGGCAAACCCTAACCTGCTCTGGATACCATGCTAAAGTTTAGGAGAGAAAATCTAATGATGAAAATATTATTACATTGTGTCTAGTTTCTATTACACAAGGATGACCTATATAAGGAACAATGGACCAGCACCTAAAAGCCCAAACCTAAAAGTCCAATTATACAATACAATATATTTCAACACTCACAACATGCTTCGTCCCCTTTTGCCTTAGTTCACTATGACATTTGGGGACTTGTTCGTGTTAATTCTAATTTAGTTTTCAATATTTTGTTACTTTTATTGATGCTTATTCCAAATGTACTTGGTTATTTTTAATGCAAAAATCATTCTGATTTATTTTATATCTTTCAAACCTTTTATAATGAAATTAAAACTCAGTTTGGTGTTTCAATTCAAACTTTGCAAAGTGATAATGGTCGTGAATATCTTTCAAGTTCTTTTAAGCAATTTATGACTTGTCATGGCATTCTCCATCAAACTTCATGTGGCTCACCACCTCAACAAATGGGCGACAAGTGCAAGAATAGACATCTTATTGACATACTTATACTCTTTTAAATCCATGGTGAGGTTTCCTCAACATTTTTTTGGAGTGATGTTATTCTTAATGCAATGTTATCTTATTAATCGTATGTCATCTCGATTTTAGATAACAAAATTCCTCTTTCTATTTTATTCCTTATGAACCTCTCCATCCTTTGCCTTTGAAAGTTTTTGGTCTACATGTTTTGTTCATAATTTTGGTCCTAGACTTGATAAGTTATCTCCTAGATTACACAAATGCGTTTTTCTAGGATTTACTCAATCACAAAAAGGGTGTTTTACTCCTTCTCTTCACTGTTATTTTGTTTCTGTAGATATCACCTTCAATGATGTTCTTTTTACTTAAGGGTCTTTGTTCTTTTGATGTGTCCCTCTGCCTACTATGTTAATATCGTGTTACTTGTGATCCTCCTGTTGTGCATAGTCCACCGTCAAATTCTCCTCCTCCACCACCCCTTTAGGTTTATAGTCAAAGACATCATTTCCAACAACCACCAAATGACTCACATCAATTGCAAACTATTTTGTGTCCTTCGACTCCGACAACTGAGTCTGACCTTACAATTGCCCTTCATAAAGGTATATGTTCTACTTGTAATCCCTCTCCACATTATATTGTTTTTAGTTACCATAGATTATCTTCACCTTTTTATACCTGTCTTTCATACATTTCTTTTGTGTTCATCCTAAATTTGTCAGTGTGGCCTAGCTTATATTGGTTGGCGGCCATGCTAGATAAACTGAGCTTTCTCAAAATAGTGGAACTTGGGAGCTCATCCCATTACCATTTGGAAAATCTGTTGTTAGTTGCAGCTGTGGTTTTGCTATCAAAGTTGGTCCTGGTGGTACTATTGATCGTCTCAAAGCTCAACTTGTAGCGAAAGGCTACACAAATTTTTGAATTGGATTATGGTGATTCTTTCTCTCCATTCGAAAAGATGGCTTCTGTTTATTTCTAGTCATGGATGCTCTTCAACAATGGTCTCTTTATCGAATAGATGTAAAATATGTTTCTCTCAATGGAGATTTGCAAGAAGAAATTTATATAGAACAACCTCCCGCATTTGTTGCTCAAGGAGAGTCGTCTGGATTGGTATGTTGTCTTCGCAAAATCTTTAATGGCCTAAAACACTATCCTAGGGCATGGTTTGGAAATTTGGCAGCATTGTTCAACAATTTGGTATGACTCAAAGTGAGGCAGATCATTCCGTCTTTACTGGACACTCAAGTGTTGGATGTGTTTATTTGATAGCATATGTTGATTACATTGTTCTTACATGTAGTGACCACCATGGCATCTGCTAGAGGAAACAACAACTTTGCCATCATTTTCCCCCCCCCAAACCAAAGATCTTGACAAACTCAGATATTTCTTGGGTATTGAGATAGCACAATCCAACGATGGTATTGTAATATCTCAAAAGAAAGTATGCATTACATATTTTGGAGGAAATTTGGGTTGATGAATTCCAAAACCTGTTAACACACCCCCATGGATCCTAATACCAAACTCTACCATCAAAGGAGCATATTTCAAATCCTGAGTAGTTAGACTCATCCATCTTCTCAATATTAAAAATATGGTTAGAAAAATGGGTGAATATGTTATTAATGTTGATGAGGTGTTGGAGACATTCTCTTTCTCAAAATATAGAAAAAAAGTAATAAATAATCTGAGAGAAAAAATTAGATCAAACCACTAGATGAACTGTCATGGAGCCCTCACTACACATGTAGGGTCGTACATGAGACACAACAAACTACATTAGGATTGTTATAATTAGAGAAGATATCTTTAGAACTTCCTAATTATGAGAAATAGATATATAATCTTCTATTTTATTTTTGTTTACCTAGTTTTCCTAATTTCCCTTTTAGGAGAATTAGATTGTACAAATAGAGGATATTGAAATGTTTTTTTATGATTCAGAATAATAATAAAAATCAGTCCTTTTTTTCAACTAGGATTATACTGAAAATTCGTTCTTACTGAACACGAATTTAATACCTAGGAATTACATAACAGGAAGGGTTAACATCTAAGACAGAGAGAATATGAGCAAAAAAAAAAAACAACTCAATGAAACAAGATAGAAGGATGTGACATCTCAAGAAAATAAGAACTAAAGAATAGAAAAGAAAAGAGAAAGTGTAGATGACTTAGATGGAAGGAAGAGCACTAGTAGAGGATGAAGCTCCATGAAAAATTACCACTTGCCTCCTAAGAATTCAAGTTAAGATCCAAAGCAAGAATTCACTATCATAAATAGAGGTGACAAAGTGGGCTAGCCCAACCCATTTTTGCCCAACTTGCTGTTGGCCCACCAAAAATGGGGCGGGCCACTAACCTTCCATGGCAAAACAGGTCAAAAGTCTTGGTGGGCACCTAGCCCCCCAGCCCACCAACTATGTTTCTAAATTTTTTTTTCATATACATACATATATATATATATATATATATATATATATATATATATATATAATATATCTACATATACATATATATATATATATTATATATATATTAATATATAAAGCATAATCCTATAAATTTTTTTTTTAAGTTTTTAATTGATTAATTGATGTCTCTAATCAGATAAATGAAAATAATTATTACCTTTATAATTATTCTATTCTATTATAATTAATAATTTGAAGTTAATTTGTAATAGTTAATAATTTAACTTACAATACTATTAGATATATGCATCCTTCAAGTAATATAATACAGAAAGATTAATTTTTAAAAAAAAAAATTCATTTTGATAGACAAGCAGGCCAGCCTTCAAGTAATATAATACAGAAAAATTCAACCCAACCTGCCAAAATTTGGCAGACAAGCAGGCCAGCCTACTATCCAGAGCCAACTTTGACACCCCTAATCACAAGTGTTCTCACAAGTCTAATTTCATTCAAATTCAAAGTAAACATTACAAGACAAGGTGGCTTATTTATAACCAAAATAGAATGGAAATTTCAATGAAATTCAATCCTAATTCTAGTGAAATGAAACGCAAATGTGACTTCTCAAGCACATTTGGCAATGCCTAAAAATTCAAATGGAAATGGACAGAAGAATTTAAATTTAAAATTAAAAAATTAAATCCTTGAAAATCCTCAATTGGTTGGATTTGAAGGAGGCATTTTCCATGCATTGTTTATGCATCTTGAATACATGTTTTCCTTGCTTGCTTTGAATCCTTTGGATACCAAATTTAACTCCAAGAATTGAAATTCAACATAGGCTTCAATTTGGGCCTGTTTTTACCTCATGTCACACCTTGTTTGCTTATGTTGCGTTTGTCTTCATTATTGTACAGTAATTCATTTTATTATGCAGTGGGCTTAGAAAAGATTCATCTAAACCTATTTTACTAGAATTAAATTCACCACTTTTTTATAATTCAAGATACAGCTGATTGCTATCAAGGTTTTTATGGATCTTTACTTATGGAGGTTTCTTATCGGTAATAAGAGATAGAAAAGCAAGGATTCTGGATTGATAGCTATTCAACCCTTAACCTATTATTCAAATCCCCTATTATCTGATAGAACAATAGCAAATTTGTTTATATTTTACTTTACGGTGACCATGTTTCAAATATTTTACCAAAATTGGTATAGAAACATCAAATTTCAAGGCTAAAGAACTTAGAACTGAAGCTGTACAATGTACTAAGAAAGAAAAAATTAACAGAAGATGCTACAATCGCAATTATTGAACCGTTCATGCAAATATCCTTTCATAAAGAGGAAGATCCAGGGAAAATAAAGTTTGCAATATCAAGATGATGAAGATGATGATGAAAATGATGATGAATAAAAGATTATGTCAATCACTCTTTTGTGGCATAAGCTGAAAACAAAACTATCATCATTTGTTACAATTTGTGATTTTAACTCTTAAGTTAAACATGGCGAAAAGGTTTCTTCTCTTCCAAATGAAGCTAGAGCAAAATTGCAAGATGTTTCAATTCTTGACACTAAATGCATTGATGGGGCCACGAAAATATGAATTCTCACATTTAATTTCAGAATAAAATTTTTAAATATAAAAATCTAGCTTCCAAGGGAAATTATGATTTATAGAAGCTTACAAGTTGACTCTTCATCTTCATCACACCATCTGTTCCAATCAACCTTCAGGTATGGAGCAGGTTTCTCTTCAGACTTCAATAGCCTCTTCCACCAACCTTTTTCTCCTTTCTGAATTGAGCATAGTATGTTTCTTAAACCAGATTTAGTTTTACAACCCTACACACCATAATAAAAAATTTAAGGATATGACCATCAAACCTTTCTTTTTAAAAAGTTTGACATGGAAAAAAAAAATAAGAGGCAAAAACCTGTTGAGTCAAATTCTCTTGAGAAATTTATTTACACCAGGTCTCTAACTTTTAGCATAATTTAAGTAGTTCATATTTAATTCAACTTCAATAGACCTTAAACAAAACCGGTATTTATGCAAACATAAAAACATTGCATGCTTCATATATGCATATGAAGAAAATTCCACAAGCTGTTCCATATAGCATGACAATTTTTCTTGAGAGTGATAAAAGACTCAACAAAAGAAAAGACAACTGGACAGGTATGACACAGCAGGTAAAGAAACAAAGCAACAATTGATTGTAGAGACGAATTAGGGACACACGCGGTTGCATGATTGGTTTCAGGTTGGAAGCATTGACCAATTTTTGTGAGATATTGGAGTATAGTGAAGTCATAACGTGAATCAATGACAAGTACTGACTTCTCAAAAAAATAAATTGCCCACACTTCAGATGTAAATAATTCTTCTTATGTATCAAGGTTAAATGCTTAAATTATTAGGTGAAGAAACGGAAATAGTTTAACATCTCTTATACTGTATATAATTATGTTAACTGAAAAGTGTACTAATACACAAGTTGCATGCATTGATGCTGCAGAAATATTCAAATCTCGCCAATGAAGGCAAGGCAAGGCTTGACAGACCATATTTCTTGCTAAAAATAATAATAATAAACCCAAACAGACACACATACAAACATACATACGGAATAGTATTCAGGATTTACAAGCTTTCCACAATGCCTTAACCACAAATGACCATTGTCCGACCAAATTACCAGAGATTTTGTACAGCTCAAGGTGGGATTAGACAATAGGGAAACCCCAAACCCAAGTTGGAACAGTTTCAATATAACTAATTTAAAAGAATCATTTCATCAAATATTTCTTTTGAAGCACAGCACAGTTCAAAGCATAATATGTCCAACAAATCCCAAAAGGCTAATAAGGGGACTTTCAGTCCAAGAGGTATTCACTGGACAAAAAGAAATGAGAGATCAAATTCAAATGGAAGCACCAGAGAATTATATTTAGAAAACATATAGCCAGCCCCATATCCTTCAACAATCATTATACACATCACTACGATCACAGTTATCATTACACAGTCACAAAACACGATTTCACACAAAACATGCACAGAATAAAATAACAGTGTAGCATTTTTCTAATGTGAACAATGTGATAAAACAAAAACATAATATCCCTCACCTCAGGTTCAATGGATCCATAAAGTTCCAAGCTAAAGCTGTAGGATTCATCTTGACCCCCCTAAGCAGAGAAACTACACCACCCCTGAGGCTCACCCTTCACAGAAACAGCCTTGGCATCAGGTTATAGCAACAGTAGTGGGGTAACCTTATAAAAAAACAGAACGTTTAGCCACAGAACTTCAGATGCGACTAAACTCACAAAAAAAAAAGACACAATTTTTCAATGACATTATAAATAAATGGGTAAATTGCTCAGAATATTAAAATGTTACAAGTTACAGCTAAATGGGTCAACTGTATTACCATGTTTTTCCCACAAAAAGATGTGAAACAGAAGCGGCAAAGACAATATAAAAATGGAGTACTGGTAAAAATTAAGTTATCTTAAGAGTGATAAAGTTTTCTTTCTTGACACCAGAAACTAAAAAAAGCTTTAGAAAATTATATTAAGTTGAAAGAATGAGATGAGAACAAAAAAAGAAGCAAAGAAAGAACCTCATTTGTCGAGTGAGGAAGACGAATGCGAGATAAGAGTCTCCAAAAGAGAAATAAATTTGGGTATGATTACGATGTTGTAATGACTTCAACACAACCTCAAGCTTCCTTCTTGATTCTTTGATCTCACCTTCCTTGTCAAGGTTACTCAACTGCAACCTACAAATATTCCTTAGTAGAGTTAACTTTTTATTCTTTTAATAGAGATATTTGCCTTTTATTTTTTAATAAATATTATGAATTTTTCATTTTTCATCAATGTTTAAGATTAATAAATAAATATATTTTTCAAATAAATTTAGAAATTTTGAAATTTAACTACTTGCGGTGAGTCTTCAAAAATTTAAATACACGATTTATAACAAAGTGATATAAGATTGTTATTTGTCCTATCATCTTTCTTAGTTTTCTATCTAATTTTTTTACAATTTTATAATTTTATTATTTATTTATAATTTAGTTTTAAATTTTATAATTTATTATATAATTTTAAAATTTGTTATTTAATTATAAAATCTATAATTATATAATATTATAATTTTATCATTTTACCATTTTATCATTTTATCATTTTATAATTTTAAATTATAAACTTTTATAATTTTAATATTTTTAAATTTTATACCATTATAGTTTTATAATTTTATATTCTATAATTTTATAATTTTATAATTTTTATCATTTTATAATTTTTATCATTTTATAATTTTTATCATTTTATAATTTTAAATTTTTTAATTGATTTAATTAAGTTTTAAGTCTTAAGTTGAAAACTTCCAATTGTGTTCCACTAAAAAATTCATGATTATTGGGTCTTTCCAAATTTAAAACATTTTAATTAAGGTTTTTAATATTAGATTTTTATGTTAATTAAGTGATTATATATCTTAATTAGTAATATGGTTCTAATCTTATCCGTCACTAATTTTGCACTACATTTAGTTGAAAATTTATAATTTTTAAATTTGTAATTTTATATATTTATAATTTATAATTTATAATTTTATAACTTATAATTTTATATATTTATATTTTATAATTTAAAAATTCTATAATTTTATAATTATACTTTATAATTTATATTTATAATTTTTTAATTTTTATAATTCTATAATTTTGGGGGGTGGGATTATATTTTAGGATTTTATAAGTTATGATTTTATCAATTTTATAATGTGTCATTTTATATTTTTATAGCTTTATAATTTGGTCTTTTTTCATTTTTTAATTTTCTAATTTAAAATTTTCATTATTTTATAATTTATAACTTTACAATTTTAAACTTTATAAATTTTATAATCCTATGATTTTATATTTTATAAGTTTTTATAGTCTATAATTGTATCATTTTTTTCATTTTGTAATTTTTATATCTTACAATTTTTACAGTTTTATATTTATATTTGTGATTGGCTTAATTAAGTTTCACACGTTTCTACTAACCTTTACGATTTTGAAATTCAGTTCTTTTTACATTTTTATGCATATATTGGTTTTTGTTAGTGTAGATCATATATATCTATATATATAATCTAGAAAAAAAAAAAATATATATATATATATATATATATATATTAAGTAATATGATTGTTATCATATTCTATATCACTAGTTTGTCTTGTATGTAATTTTGTTAATTTTATAATTTTATAAGATATTCAAATACAAAAAAATTATTATTTACATTTATTTAAAAGTAAATGAAACAATTAAAAGTATTTCTTAATTACAACTAAAGTAAATTCTATCCTACAAACAAGCATTTTATTAAAAGTAATAAACATTTCCTCTCTCCTTGCAATAATTAGTATATCATTCAAAAGACTAATTTATTGATTAAGTCATTGTTCTTAAGAAATAAGATTCATCCTGATATAGACTTTTATATAACATACATTGAAGAAAAACACAAAACAAAGACATCACAATAAGAACCTATTTGACAAAAGAATCAACAAACTAAAATGAGATGTTTGACTATTGTACTTGAATAACATGGACATTCATTATGAGAAGTAGATGAGTTCTCTCACATGTGAAGTTTTTTTGTCTTGTCAAAAATAAATTTAGAAAAAAAAAGTCTGAAGTTTAACTATAGTACTGAATATATGAATATGAATTCTTTGAAATTTTGTTTCGTAACAGTATTATTCCTAAACTAACGTGTAAACTCCAAAACTAGGTTGTAGAAAGGAAAAATCATCATTTTCTAGAACTAGTTAAAGTTCTACTTTTTTAGATGTTTATTCTAAAACCTAGTGAGGAAATATTTTGTTAACTCCCACTTACTTCATCAATAAAATACTCACTTGTATTTGTATAATGTCAACTTCACACAATCAATTTATAAGTGAGTTTTACACTTAACTATAATTACGTGAAAGTAGATATTTGTAATATGAGATATAATAACAAGTAACATAATAAACTCAATAAATCTCACTAAAATTAATGTGTAAAGTGAAATTTACACCTAATTTTATATATTTTTACAAATAAAAATAATATTTAGTTTATTTTAATCCTGATATAAAAGCACTTTGTAAGTAAGTTTATGTATAACTCAACCTTACAAAATCGACTTTAAGTTGAAGTTTGTACCCTACTTATATATTCTAACTTAACTTTATAACTTAGCTTTATAATTTAGCTTTATTCCTAGGTAACAGAGGATCTTCAATCAAACATATTCAAAAAGAGTTTGAGTTATTTGTGAAAGGTGAGCTCAAACTCTTATCATCATGGGTCATCAATGAGTTCTTAGTAAATTAGGTTTATTTTAGACCTTATATAATAGGTTAAGTAATCAAGGTTTTCTTTTTGGCCTTGCATTTGGTTTTAGGGTTGTAGTGTAAGGTTTTAGGCCTAGAAGATATGAGCCTTAAGAAGACCCTTGAATCTAAGGTAAAAAAGTTCTAACTTAGAGAGCAAACCTTCTAAAAGCTTGTGAATCCTTAGCTAAAGTGATCTCCTAGTTACTCTCTTTTTGAGACACATGTTATTGCCATGTGGCATGCTCCTGATGGAGAAGATTTCTCATAGTAGTAGTCATGTGTCATCCTCCTAATCCAGAAGATTTTTCCTTGGTCTCCAAATTAGAGTATTAGGGTTTTCCTTCTAATTTGGAGACACCTTTATGTTACCTGAGCATATAAATAAGGGTGTCTCCCCCATGCTATTCAACTTAGATCACCAAGACCAAAGCACCCCTTATAAGTTTTCTCTAACACTCTTCCTTAAAAGTTGACCCAACTTTTCTTGAGAACATTTAAACACCACCATAGTCTCTCCTCCTTACTTGAGTTATATAGCTTGGAGGTGAGGAATCATCATCTTATCACATCCAAACCACCATACACACATTATATTCTCACTACCATTAAACTTTCGCAATCACCAACCTATTTGAAAGTCTCCACCTTGCTTAAGTCATATAACTTACTTAGAGGAACTTATGCCATCAATTCTCACTCCAATAAAATGAAAAACAATAAACTATAAATAGCTTTTACACCATTTCAATAAATAAGTTTACATCTAACTCAATTTTATAAAATTAACTTAGTAAAATAATATGTACATCCACTAATATATTATGATTTAGTCGTATTACTACTTGACGTGGAATCTCCAACCCACACACTTATATTGAAGAATTAACATTTTTAATGTAAAATTCGATATTTGTGATAGTTTAATAAAAGCCCAGTAAAAAAAAGTAACACAACAATCCAATAAATTTGACTAAAACAAATTACAATCATTATAGTATTATATTAATATTAAGAAAGTAAAATTTAAACATAATTTAACTTTAATTTATAAGATAAGATTTACATCGTATTTATATATTATAAGTTAACTTAATTCTTAAGATTTACATCGTATTTATATATTATAAGTTAACTTAATTCTTAGTTTATATTAGATTTTCATCACCCTCTTTCATGTCGAAAAATGAATATAGTAAAACAAATGAACATCTTAAGCTTGCAAATAAATATTTGTGAGTAATTCAAAAGAGCTTGGTAAGAGTGACAATATAATCTCAATAAACTTCAATATGATATAATACCATCTTACCACAAATAAGTTTATCTAACTCAACCTTACACGTAAGATGAGATCTATCTAACTATATATTATGATTTACCAAGCCTCCTTTTAAGGAGATCTAAATAATCTTTCCCGAGCAAAGAAGACTAAAAGACAACATAGTAAACTGTTTAACCAATATATATATATATATATATCTTTTGGGGTCATTGCATACCAAATAGCCGTGTAGATACTAAAAAATTGCCCTAGTACAGACTAGGCGATTCTTTTAGGGTCTACTTTAAAATTTTAACTTCAAAAGCTTAAATCCATAGTTGTAAGAATAGTAAATGTGATAAACACTTTATTTTACTAAAATAATTAATGGTTGATGATTTCTATCCAGGAAACTTGTATTTAACTTTTGTTAGTTATGGATGTCATTAATTTTCTGCACACCGATTATATGGGATTTAAAACATTAACATATACGAATAATGCTATAATGTAAAAGAACACACTGCTCAATCAATCTAACATTCAGGATTAGATCAATTATTCAACTCAATCTACTTCAGTCTTTTGTAA